CCCCAAAACCCCAAAACCCCAAAACCCCAAAACCCCAAGATCTCATAAGGATGTTGAAAACTTAATAATCGTCATCATCATATCCAAAAATGTCATCTTCTGTTGGTACTATAAAGAATCAAGTATCAAGATTACCAGGTTTATTGATTTCTTCAATTTTGCCAGTCCTACACATAAACATAAAAACTTACTTTGCCATATCATCTATTTCTTGAAGCACACTATATTCTGAGAATGAGAGCTTACCTTGAAATAGAGTCTGTCCAGATTCCTCTGTCGAACTTCTCAAATGTGTATGGGTCGCTGATTAGGGACATCCACAAAGAGTTCTCTTTCAGAGAAGCTATGATCGTTAATGCTGGATTGAAAAGCTCTTACTTCCACTTGCTTCGAGTAATGCTCTGATGGTCTTTGGCTCAACTGGTGTCTTATTGTCCTTGACAAAATGAATCTTAGAGCTTACTTTCAAACTGTTGACCAATAAAGCAGCTACAAATATAGAGTAATTCTTCTTATCATTCTTCGCCATTTCTGAGATAGGCTTCTTAAGGCAACTCAGGAAGTAGTCTCTTGAAATGTAGGTGACTTTAGTCTTCATCCTTGCTTGTATCCATTTGTCAACTTTGTTTCTAAGAATGAGTTCAGCACCTTACTTATCATTTTCAGTGAGGTTTTTAATATCATAGAGCCAAGTTACTCCTAAAGGTAAGGACTTAGAATACTTTCGAGAACAGCCATATTTTTCAAATTCTCTTCGTGAACAGCCTTGAGGCGTCTAACAATTTGTTCAACAGACTGAGTGTCCAAGATGAAATATTTAATGGCATTTCTAATCTGTAGTATGGTCTCTAACCCAGAGAACACCCTTGTATCTTCTCTGACTTGAGGCTTTTCGTCAGGATTAGGTTGCTCTTTGACTTCTTCATCAGGTTCATTAACATTGCCAAGAATATTGGTGAAATTGTTCATAAATGCTTGATCCTCCTCAGCTTCCTATGCTAATTACCCGACTAGCTTACCCAATCCGAGTTGTAGTCTTGAGGGGCCTCTTTGGCCTCTTCGGCCTCTTCTTTGGTTTCTTCTTTGACTTCTTCCTGAATCTCTTCTGGGATTGTGAGATCTTCTAGGTCATCGACCAGGATGGCTTCATTAGTATCTAGCACATTGAACTCAGAGAGTTTGTGAATTCTGGTTTGAAGCTCACTCTGAGAAAGAGGTTCAAACTCAAATGACATGAACAGACTGTATTTCTGTTCGATGTCCTCGCTTGGCAGGTATGATTCGTATCACAGATTAAGGTCCTTCCATAAAGATGTCAGGAAAGTGAAATGAGGCTGAGTTGATAGCAATGCTAGAATAGGCTCTGCTAAGACCCTCTCAGACTTGATTTCGTCATAATTGACTTTCTTTAACTCTGCCACATCTATTGGTTAGATTGACAGATTACCCTTTATCGTGTAAGCTTTGGGATACAACTTCTTGTTGCAAAGATCTTTGAGGATTATTGAAAGCTTCTCAATATTTTCTGTGTAGTTCAGCAAGCTCATGTGCATTGAGAATATTTTGAGCAATTTTGGAATTTCTCTCATTGGTGAGTAGCTAAAGTCAACGATGAAACTTACTTTTGGTAGCCTTCTTTCTCAGTGCTGTAGAGATACTTGTCAATGAACTCAAAGATAATGTGATCTTCAGTGTATTCACAAACTGGCTTCTCTGAGGTTTGAGCTACTATTTTAAGCATTCTGTGCATACCACCTGTTATTTGAAAGCCAAAGTCTCCTGTTGGTTTGAAGTTGATACAGTGGTAATCCAGAATATCATACCAAGAGCCTGGTTGAGCGATTCTTTTTGAAATTGAGAGTTCTTGCTCAGAGTAAATTTTGTGCATAATCAAAAAGTAAATGTCGACTAAAATTTCATATCAGCCTTGGGCTTTATCTTTATTGATATTTGCCATTTCTATATTTTAAAAACAAAGGAGAAATACCTGAAGATTTATAAAGGAAAGCTTTGATGTCGCTAAAAACTCTCTTTAAGAACTCATCATTAATGGTAACAGATAACTTAGATAAGTTTGTATGAGAGTTCTTGAAGATAATGTAAAATTCAAACACTCTAAGCAAAGTGGTATACGCTTCAAAGACTGGTTTCTTGATCTCATTCTCAAGTAGCTTGCTTAGAAGAGTATAGATTCTATTGGTTTAGACTCTAAAATTACCTTTCAAGCCACAAACTTATCGCATCAAAATCAAGGTCATGCACAGAGTATGTAATTATACATCAGATGCTGATTTTCTCTGAAAGAAGCTTCAGCTTGTCTAGAACTGATTTATCTTCAGCCAGTAATTTCTGGAGTTCTTCGATGGTGTACCCTTCAAACCTGTCCAATAAGAGCTCAAGAGATTTATTCTGGTGAGGCTTCAAAGCTTCAAGATTGACTCTTGTGAGCAGCTTTAAAATATCAAAGTCCTCACCATCACAAGAGATTGGGTGCATGTCATTCATGATGTTGAGAGAGTAGTAGTACATTTTAGTTAACTGGATGAATGATACATTGGCCTAAAAATCAAAGAGCATGCTTACCTCAATGATACTTTCTATTTCTCAGATGTCAGCTCCATCTAACGTGACAAAGGCTCTATAGGTTGGAAATTAAGTTTGTACCTGTTTTCTTCTCTGTAAGACAACACTTTGCTAAGGTTTCAGTTTGAGAGGCTATAGATTACTTCTGGGTTTACAAATGTTGAATCTCGATTAAGTAGCCAATAATTCCAAAATATTTTCACATTGAATCATCGCTTTCAAAGCCTAAGGCTGGCTTGATTTCAGCATCTAGCAGATTCTTTATTGAAAAGAAGTAGATTCTCATCAACAAATGAGTTCTAATGATCCAGTGGTGATACACTTCCACATATCTGATATCTTCTCGATTGATTTTAAGCATTGACTCTTCAGATTTGAGAATCTCTCCTAAACTTTAAGGCATAGTCTTTACTTGACTCAAGACACTCATGCAAACTTTGATATATCTGAACAATGCTCTGCATGATTTCATCATGAAACTCTGGGTTAATTTCGAAGAAAGAGCATGATCCGTATAATCTGCCCATTACATAATTCTCTGCTTCTGATTCTGTGAAGTCGATCTTTTTATCTTCAAACTCAGGAGAATTATTGGTCAGCTTGAACAGAGGAATCACTGATGCAGTGTACATATCTGTGTGGTATTCAGTGCTTTCAGTTGGGATTTCATGTTCTCTACAGAATAGACAATTAGCTTACTGTTGCCCATGCATGGACTCTTTGAGGATATCCTCAAAAGTTTCTGCATGATCCCTAAAGAGTTATTATTTAAAATGTACGAATCGGCTATGGATATATTCTTCTTAGTCACATTGCCTCGGATATGGTTGCAAATTGCTTGCTGAACATAATCGATCTTGTTTTTAATATTGACAATCAGCTGGCATGCCTTCAGTGACAAGTTGTAAGACTTGTCTAACTTCTCAGCATGCCAGTACTTCTTAGTGTTAGAACAGTACCCAACGATATCAGCGGATATTTTACAACTTGTGGGAAACAGCATACCTGAGGTGAGGTCGAAATTGAGTACTCTTCCTTGTGAACAAATCTGTACCTTGTCATCTTTGACCGAAAGAATGGCTCTCTTGATTGTATCAAGCTGTAGTCTATGTTTTGCATATTCCTCTATGATTCTGAACTCTTCTAGTCTTTTAGGGTTGCTTTCTTGATCTTCCTCAGAAATTGAAAGCTCAAGCTTTTTGGTAAATTTATGAAGAAGAGTTCGTTTTTCATATCCATGGATCTCCCAAAATAGAACTTTCTTTACCCATTTATGAGTATTAGACATCAGTTCTTCTTTACTAAGACATTCTACAGCCGAAGCGTCTACTTCAACTGTTGAAGACAAAGCATATATGGTTGTATCATCAGATGTCACAGGGGTTGATCTCATAAATCTAGAAAAATTAAGCTCCAGACGCTGAGATGCTTACCTCACTTTGCCATTGGCTAGATTGTCGTAGATCACACTTGAGGAAGTGAATTCAAAGGGCTGAATGCCTTCTTCTCTATATTCGCTCACTTGGGTCTGATATTGATCAATTTCCTAAGCATAATAAACCTTCAAATACTTCAGCAGCCCATTCTTTGATTTGTAAGTTTTCTTTTAATTTGATAAATGGAATGTTTTGCATTAATTCTTCATCTTCAATGCGAATCCAAGGAGCATCAGTCTACAGTGTCAAGCATACTCATACATTGTTGTGAAAGATGAAGGACAGTTTGCCATGGAGTAATCCATCCAACTTGGAATGTGCCTCAACTTTGTTATCGTGTATCTAAAAATTAAAAATAAACATTACCTTATACAGTCCATATCCTTCCAAATGAAAGTACCGATGAGATTTGTTTCCTCCAAATTCATAGTGTTTCCCTTTTATTGTAAATGAAAATCGTACCGGTTAAGAACGAAGATACTGAGATATTATCTTCAGCTGCTGGAAGAGATTCTTTATTGAGTTTAGCTTCTTCAGCATTATCAGGAGTGATATTTCCTTCTAATTCAGTATCAATCTGCTCATTTTTCATATCTTCTGTATTCTTGGGTTCATCTTGGTCTAGCACAGAGAGGTTGAATTTTATCTCTGAAATTTCATCTTCTCTATATTTACTGTGAGTCGTTCTTAAGAGTATCGCTTACAAGTCATCTCATGGAGCAGGTAAGTATTCCTGGCATCTCTCAGATACGAGTAAGACCAAGTCATTGACCAAGTTGTTTCTATAAGCCATCATTTCTTCTGTGAAAGAATATTCCCTGTAATTTCTGGACTTCTCATTGGCTATTTTAGACGAATAATCTTGATTTCTTACATAAGTTCCTGGAAGCTTGCAGAAGATGAAACCCTGAGCTGTAGTGATGAGCCATTGAAAGAAGACACTCATAAACAACTGGTTCAAGCCGGAGAGACTCAAACTTCATGTTCCTATAGAAGGTCTGGAACAACTTCCTTGTCTGCTTGAAACCTAGACATTTTAGTTAACCAAGAATTTAGTTCTGGGTTAGAAAAGGAATCCTGACACTCACTTGAAGATGGGACACCAGCATGATAAATAACTGTTTTTAGCTCTTCAATAGATAGCCTGAGGTCTTTGACAAGAGCAGGAGCTGGAGATTTCAACTTCTCTCAGCTATTCGCAAAGAGAAGTAACCAAGTGAAGTCAACATTATTTTCAATGTTCTCTGGATCTTTCAGAAATTTCACTACATTGCTATTACAAAAGCGCGAATGGCTCTTAGTTCCAAGATATCAGACTATCGAGTTAGGCTAATTCTTACACTTCTGGAAGCTTTCTTTAACACTCTTAAATTGATCAGCTTTTCTCCAGATTTTGACTTCTACTTTTGGGTCTAAACATACTTAGTAAAGAAAGGATCTTACCATATTTTGTAGCAGTGTCTTTGTACTCCTGAGGAGTGACCATACCTGAGCAGAAGGATCTTGTCTGCAACCTAATACAGATTGTGTCAGAAATATGAGGAAAATTCATAGATATCGATAGGCCCTTACCACTTGGTATACTCTGCATCTGCTAAATCTTCTGTTTGTATCTTAAGTTCTTGGTCATGAAGATCTTGTAGATGCTTTTCAAATTCTTGAATTTGCTTTGTTAAGGATCTAAATAAGTTTAAGATTACATCAAATCACAAATGTCTAGTAAGGAATAATAAGAAGAGTATTCAATACTCAACAAATATGCCACACTGACGGACTTACTTGTATGATTTTGTTTGAACTTCTTGATTACTCGATGCCTGTTTGTGGTGAATCAAACCTAAAACAATGCTAAATCCTCTTCTTTAGCGATTGAGGCATTCATATGATAATATAGGGATAACAGGAATTGTCCTACTTTTAAAAGTATCCCTTAGACTCAAATGGGAAGAATACTTACCTTTTGACATTAAATTATTATAACTAAAATAAAATTTTATTTTAATTGAAAGAAATCAACCATTTAGAGCTTCCTGGGGTTTTGGGGTTTTGGGGTTTTGGGGTTTTGGGG